CCCAACAATTAAATCCCCTTTGTACCCTGTCATATTGATAGCCATAACATTCTTTTACTAAAACAGAGGAATCACCACCTATACATTTTAACCAATACCGAATTATTTCTTTGTTCACATGTGTTCTAATTAGATGTCTTCCCATGGACACAATGTAAACATAACAGTAATTATAGTCTACTTCATCCAATTTTAGATAGACTCGTTAAACGTTTTAAAATAGTCATGTATGATGACAATAAATCTAAAAATCATAAAAACAAACTTAGAACCTACAGATTACTGAAAAAGGATTACACCTATGAAAAATATATAACAGTAGTTAAAAATCACAACCATCGGTCAGCCCTAACAAAACTACGTATAAGTGCCCATACCTTACAGATAGAAATGGGGCGGTACAAAAATATTGACATTAGCCATAGAAAATGCAAAGTCTGTGATCTTGATGAAGTAGAAGACGAGAAACACTTTCTGCTGAAATGCGAACTACACCAAGAGGAGAGGATTAAACTGTTCACTGAACATAACTTATCCTCAGCTGGTGTAGCTGAGGAAGAAATCATGATAAAAATTCTCACCTCTACTGACAACAAAGAAATCACTGACTATGCAAAATACATTTTTAACTGCTTTAGCCGCAGAGATATTACACTGGAAAAACCACCAGCTGCCCCCAAATAATCACTCAATTTTACATTTCTTGTATTTTTTTCTTTTGTTCTGTTTTACTTATAGATATAATTTTCTAATTGTTTACTTTATTTTGTTACCTTTTTAGCTAGCTGTTGTTTATTTAAACAACATTCTTGTTGTATTATTTTCAAGATCCCAATAAGGATACGAAATCAATAAAGTTATTTACTTACTTACATACCATTTTTACAATGTCCAACATTTACTTTTTTTTACAAAATCCTTTTTTTAAAGTAATTCTCAATTCCGATTAAAAAGTCTATTTAAAAAAATGTAATTACCATATTGCGCAACGTAGTACAGAATGAACGGCAGAAGAGCATTGCCGTACAATTTGTTTGCTACCCTTATTAGCATAAACTCAAATAACGGGAACACACATGGCTTGGGGGTCATTCTACTGCAATTGGCAAATAACAGGGGGTGGGTGGCTGACACTCATTCTCTGTGTACATTTCATATCAAGAGGATTACACACTAAACGTTAGTGTCGTTGTCGTATATATAAATTATGTTCAGGACTTTTTCTTACATGACAGCTGTGGGAATTTTCGTGCAAAACATTACTGGCGTCGACAAGACAATTGACCCCCCCCCATGCCCACAAGTAACATCCAGGGTCCAATATGCGTACTTTGTTTCCATTGGTCGAATTCCGAAAACACGTATTTTGATTGGCCCGTATTGCACAGCCTCGATCTCGTTGTTGAGAGTCCGTCAATTTTGGCGCGTGAAATCATTCACTCTCATAGAAGCCAACTTGGAAGTGATCGTGTCGTATACTATTTGTGAAAATTCGTCATGTCTGGTCGCGGGAAAGGCGGTAAAGTCAAGGGAAAGGCGAAGAGCCGATCAAGCCGCGCCGGTCTCCAATTTCCAGTCGGTAGAGTTCATCGATTTCTGCGAAAAGGAAACTACGCAGAGAGAGTCGGTGCTGGTGCCCCTGTTTACCTCGCAGCTGTCTTGGAATATTTAGCTGCTGAAATTCTGGAGTTGGCTGGAAATGCTGCCCGTGACAATAAAAAGACTAGAATCATACCTCGTCATCTGCAGTTGGCCGTGAGAAACGACGAAGAATTAAACAAGCTGATGTCAGGCGTTACCATCGCACAAGGCGGAGTACTACCCAACATCCAAGCTGTATTACTTCCCAAGAAATCCGGCATGGGTGGAAAAGGAGGAAAGAAATCGTCACAAAGCCAGGAATACTGAGTATAAAAACCTACATCGATGTGTGCGTGTTTCTGTGATATTTTAACTCTATGTGATGCCGTATCCTGAAATTTAGCTGCCTCGTTGAACTATTGACTTTAAGACGTTCGTTTTCCCATTCATTGAGAAGTCGGCCATTTTGTTTTTGACCTCAAGCATTAGCATCTTCATTTAAGTTCGAATGAATCGTGATATGTTTACATCGCTACTTTGTCATTCAGTTTTCATAGATTATATAACAGTGTTTTTGTTTCGTATTTTTTTTGGCGCCAATTTGAGCCATTCAGCTTGAACTTAATTAAGTCTTGACCTTTGACACTCAGTTACTGTATCACTGGATTTTGATTTGATTAATTTCTTCTAAACTGTGGATAGTTTTGAACAGATAATCATGACTTTGTGATTGATAATAAACCCAAATCTTTACACCAAGATTTTTTGTTATTCAGTTATTTAAGTTATGATCATGGTTCATTTGTGTGACCACTGTGGAATACTTTATTTTCGCTTGTAATTAATTTTCGCTGAAAGAATGATTCAGTGAAGATAAAATCCAGTGAATATACCTTTTTTCCTATATTTTACATACAACTTGTCAAACATCAGTAAAAATAAATTCCATACAAAACACCCAAAAAGTCTATTTAACGAAAATTAATTCCAGCTAAAATAAAGTATTTTACAGTACTTCATTTAGGGGTACTTCTTGCAAGAAGCTTGTGGCTGACAAAGCTGCCTAGGTACTTTAACCACTTAATCTTTGGTGGGAGAGGCAAGCATGGCAAAGTCCCGCAAACCCTATGTTATAGTTATGCAAATATGGCAATTCCAGACTGGAAAGAAAATTTTTTGAATCTTGTGTACAGTCAATGTGGAGTTTACATACTTTCCCTCACAGTCCCTCTATTCCTGGTCTGGGAACGACTAGCGTTCTTTTGTCTCGAACTGAGTTTCTGGTGAACAAACCGTTCACACCTAGAACAAGGAAGTCAGACAGATTATGATACCGTCAGAATATTCATTAAAATAGGCAAATTTACTGTCATGCAAAGCGATACCTCATTGTACGACTCGCACTAACAAATTTTTGAGTTTTCGATCCCTGGTGCGTTATCAAAACCAGCCTACCAACTCATCAACATCCAGTTCTTGCCATGTAAAGATTAATATCGGGAATAATGTTCATCTTCTAGTTTTAATCGGGGAAAAAACTGCGCGTCCCAACATGCTGACATCTCTAAACAAATCTTGTCAAAATGATGCCATTCAAGTTAAAGAGGTTGATTGAAAAAACCTGTGATATTTCTGATTCCTGTGAGGTTCATAACAATTAAAGACAACTTTACAACAACTAATGACTTTATTCGATACAAAAGTATGAAGCAATTCAATTTTTTAGCACTGAATACCATACATTGTCATTTCAAAACGTCAACATTTAGATATATGATCGAAAAAAGCATCCATAAAAATCGCCCAATTTAACATAAATAAAATGCGGTGTGACAAATAAATCAGCCCACCAATTTTTAATGATACGTTTCGATCATAAAATGTCAAAATCGAAGGCAAATATTGGTTTCACGCCAAGAAGGGTAAATAAAAATTAGTTCATTTTAACTCCTCCAAAAATCAAACATGCACAAATTTCTGGGTAAAGGTATAAAAATTTGTTACAAAAATGTGTCACTGCTGGTAAAATAGATGAATTAAAAAAACTACTCTGCTAAAATATGACCTTATACAGATATCCTGATTAAAAAATTATGTGAAAAAGCATGAATTCTGGAATAAACAATTAAGTTGTAAAAACACAGAACTTGCGATGTCAAAAATAGTGACTGGCTGTGTACTGATCACGTGACAATGCTTTGCGCATACCGCAACACACTTTTGCCAGGGAAGGAGGCCAATTCACACCTAATACAATGACAGTTACCAGACATTTGCATTTCTTATTTTGTTCAAATTTTGAATGAAGTGTTTTGTGTAAAATCTATTTGGCATGAATGAGCTTAAAAAATGCCTTGTAGTGGGATTGATTGAAAATCACAAGTGGCCATCCATGAGATTGATTCTGAAAGTTTTAGGA